GATACTAATAACTCCTTAAAGGACCACCTAGTCAATACTTCCTTGAGACCCCACATACCTAACATAAAGATTTTTCGAACTTTCAGGTGACTTAATACTGCATATTTCGGCCAATATTTCAGTTATCTCAATGAAAACTAGAGAGCATATTTTACTCATAACAATGTACCTGAAATAGATAAAATCGTCGATTCCGGACTTTCTTCGATTCGGGATTTCTAATAGTGCGGAAAAGTTGCCTAGTACTTATTGATTCCAACGAAACTTTTGTTTTTGAGATCGGATTGCATCTTCAACCCCAACTCCGGCCTTGAAAATTCGGAAATTCGTCTAAAATCGTGAAATTTTCTACCTAGCGCCTGAAATACGCATCTCATGGCAAAATGTAGAAAACAAAAGTTATTTGTCACGTCATTTGCTACCGAAACGGATGTGATCATGGCCGTAGGACGAACCGTTCCCGAGATACGAGCGAAAATGCGGCGCGCCACAGCGCAGGGTGAAAATTGTTGCAGCTCTCAGCTAACCTGTATTGGTCACCTAGAACCCACCGCGTGGAGGTGGCTGCTCTTCGGGTTCCTCCCAAGCCCAACCCAACCAACCCACCATATGTCAGGCTTGTTTTAGTCTGATATGTACAATAACCCAATTAGAGGTCGGGCCACGACCTTTAAATTTTAGTCCAAAGGTATCTTTTTTTACGGCGATTACAGTTCTTAATTTAGTTCTTAGTTAGAGCTATTTATATCTTTGGCTTTTGGTGGGCGTAGCAGAAGAAAGATTCTTTAATCAACATATCTCAATTTTTACTCAAGGTGCAGCTTGCACAGACAGAAGGTCGGACGGGTAGACAGACACGCGGATTGCAAATCGGTTACGATTTTCAAAGGTTATTATCGTCTCCTCGTAAATAACAAAAGAATATTTACATTATTTTTAATTTAATCGTTAAATAAGTTTATTTATTAATTTGTTAATATTCATTTCATTTATATAAATCATAATTTTTGTGCTTTAAAATGAGCCAAGTAGTAAGTGCTGTAATCCATTAAAAAAAAGAATCATAAGCCTGTTATTAAAAATTTGTTGAGGTGTTTTTATTACGAATTTGAGTTCAAAACTTTTCCATCGTGTGCAATTGTTTTTGTCATTTTAGTAAATGGTGGTGGTTTGACCCCTACAAGACTTGACTACAATACAACTAATCCTACATGTTATCAAATTTATACTATCAGTTTCGGTTTTAGCAACGAAAAATTAGAACGCTACAGTCTCTAACATCACAGTCGCAAAATGACTATAAACTAGTGTAATCAATTAAAATTAAAAAACTACTATTGGAGCGAGGTGAATCGCTCCAGACAAGTTACGACTTTATAAGCGTTAAAAAACTAACTTCTCCGAAACCATTAAGTAACGCTGCTATTAAACATAACAATACAAATGACATTCTTTTGAATAATATTAAGTATTATTTTAAATAAACAAATATTAGATCCGTAAAGATCCTGAGTACTCAAAGTCCCGAAAAGTATTGAATAATTTTCTAAAGATATTGGGATCTGGATTTAACGACAAAAGTGAAATTACTGTTAATATTCTTTTGATGTTTACAAGGAGACGATAATAATGATTGAAAATTGTCACAGAGCGATATATTTTTTCAGAAAATAAACGCTTGGCACGAGAAATAAAAGCTATTTGCGAGCAGTGAAATCTTCTTCCGGAATCTTTAACTTTGTTTAATAGCGCATCATACCTTAAAAGTTAGCAAAACAAAATATTTAGTTATTTTTATTATATTAAAAAGTAAGTATTTCCTTTTTATTCACTAATTTACCATTAACGGTTAGTTTAAAAATAGCTGATTGTGAGTACATATAGGTTACGGGTAGCAAATTGCTTTTTAAAGGTCTCGATTTCTAAGATTTTCCAATACTAAAAGTGGTAATTTCTTCTTTCCCGAAGCATTGTCACTAAAAATGTTAAGCCTGCTTTGGAGTTTTTTTGCTGCAGATAGTACTTCCAAAGAAAGTATTTTTTCAGGAATCTATTTCCAATAAAATTAGGCTGGAGGAAAAACATAGGTCATATTTAATCTTTATCCTCTTAAGGGGACACAACTTTTAATTTTTCAAAGATCAAAACTTGTATAAAGACATTTTTGGTTTCATGACTATCTTTCACACCGATATTGAGTTATATATTATATAGTTTTACAGAGTTCACAGACCTTTCATTTGAATTTACTGGTTATATATAGTGTACCATGAATAGAAACTGAGTGTATTCCACTAAATCTTCCTCTCTTGCACCGTAGCTCAAATATATAGAAATTACTGCATTTACTCTAGTGAAATATTTAAAGAACCGCTTTAAATCAGTAAATTTATAAATATGGTACGTGAAAATAGCAAAACCATATCCACCGAAATTGTCAGCGTTATCAGGTACTGAACATGGCGCTTCAACACCAACGCCCACCCAATCACGATTGGCGAATACTATTTTCTTCAATTTATTAATGTTTTCGTCTTTTCTTAGGCTTGGGCTTTTCTTCGTTCACATCTTCTCGTCCCTCTGCGAACCGGTAAACGTTACTTTTGTCCAAGGGAGCTTCACCTTATGTCATAGTCAACATTCGGACCGTGCACTTAATTTTGTTTTTATTTTACATATGAGAGTGGCGGGGGCAACGATATCAAAAACTGCTTGGCGACTTTAATGCCAGGGTGGGCAAAGAAGGTATCTTTGGTACTACGGTCAGTAAATTCAGCCTCCACGAGGAAACATCCCCAAATGGGTTGAGTCTGATCGACTTCGCCGGGGCCCGAAATATGGTTATCTATAGTACTAGATTCCAGCATAAGAAGATACAGCAAGCTACCTGGCTGTCTCCGGACTGAAAAACTACCAAGCAGATCGATCATGTTTTAATAGACGGAAGACACCTATCCAAGTGTTTTAGACATGCGTACGCTCCGAGGTTCTAACATCGATTCGGAAAACTATCTTGTTGCAGGCAAGATTCGCACCCGCCTCTGTGCAGCAAGGAATACAAGCCAACAAACACCAGGAAGGTTCGACGTCGAGAAGCTGCAATCACAACAGACAGCCGAAAAAGAAGAGTAGAAAGAACTTGACAAGCTGACCGACAAGGGTAATGCTTCTTTGTAAAATATGGTCCGACGAAAGCATTAGGTGTGCTTAAGTGTGCTGACCCAAATCCACAGAAAGAGAGACCCCACAATCTGCGCCAACTACCGTGAGATAAGCCTCCTCAACATCGCGTATAAGGTTACATCGAGCATATTGTGTGAAAGATTAAAGCCCACCGTCGACAAACTGATTGGACCTTATCAATGTGGATTTAGACTCTCTCTCCGCTGTGACACGGCACGCCTCGTCCTCGCGATGATACAGGGTTGTTGGTGAGTATTCTCAGAGAGCAGAAGTGCAAGTCGAGTCGTTCGACTGTCTGTTGCGATTGCAACTTCTCGACGTCGAACCTTCCTTGTGTTTGTTGACGTGCGTTTTTTGCTGCACAGAGGCGGATGCGAATCTTGGCAGCAGCAAGATATTGCTCCGAGTCGATGTTAGGACCATGGAGCGCACTGCAACTCTCATAGGTTCGCTAAAGCGCTCATAGAAGGCATCTTTGGTCACATCGTCCTTTTTTTCCGTGGGGACGTGGGGGCAAATGAGCGATATGTTGAAATGCCTTGCTTTGATGCGGATTGTGGCTAGATATTCATCCACCGGAGTGAATGCTAGTACTCGGCGATGGAGTCCCTCTCCCACCACGAATCCCTAACCAAATGCTCTTTTACATATATGGCCACTGTAGTAAATGACCAATTAGGGGAAATTAAAAATTAATAGAAAATAACAATTTAAAAAACTTGCTTCAAAAAGTATTGCGAATTTTTTATTTCTTAAAAAAGTGTTTAACTTCTCTTCAGTTTTGGGATCAAGAACGACACAGGGGCCAGATCTGGGGAATACACAACTAATGTTTTGTTTTTGGCTAAATATTCGCGCACAAGCCACGCCGCATGAGCAGGGGCGTTATCATGGTGCAAAAGCCAATTTTTTTTTCTACAAATCCGGTCATTTTCTGCAGATTACTTCACGCAAAGTGCGCATAACTTGCAGGTGGAAGATTATTATTGATCGTTTTATCGTTTGCCAAGAACTCATGCAGCACAACTCCCCTGCAATCGATGAAAACTGTTAGCAAAACCTTTACATTCGAACTAATTTAGCATGATTTTTCAGTCTTGGCTTTTACGGAAGCTTTCATTTTGATAATTGAGCTTTGATTTACAGCATGATTATTGATCAACATTTGGTGAACTATGCCAATGAAACCCTGTTCTTGGTCGAAAGTGAGCAATTTTGGCACAGAAAGCGAAGACGAATCAAAACGCGTTCAAGTAAAACGAAGTCAAATATCCAGGGGTGTTTTTTAATCTAAGACAGATTTGAATAGTTATCGGAATTGCTAACCAGTTAGTGTTACAGAATCTGATTGGATTGTCGTCTTTTCAATCATGCGCAAAACCAATATTGGAGTCAGCTGTTTATTTATGTAACAAAACTTGCAAAATAATACATTTACATAACATTTATCGAATGAATAAAGACGTATTAATTAATAATTTAATTTTAATTACGTTTACGTTAATTACGTTTTGTACAGAATGCGCAGTTCAAGAAAAAAATATAACACTGTTCGCAATATTGAATAAGCAAAATTATTTTCGTTCGTAATATGGAAACATCAATAAGATAATTTTGATAGTAGTTAATCAGACGACCACTGTAATTATAAATTCAGATACGGAGTCCTCGCATAGCCGCATATTTATGTATATATTTAAATCTCGTAATTACTAAGGAATATCTGGGATAAAGATAAAACAATGAGTTTGTTCTATTTAATTACAGATGCTATGGGTAAAATATAGTATTGATTAATTACACCGATTTCAACAAACCTCTTTTCCGCAGTGAATGGTGAACGCCATAAAGACCATTCATACAGGGACCATAGGTCCGGCACAACATGCAGACTCCGGCATAAATTAAGAAATTGTTTCGCGTCTTTATGAACGGCAAACTGCCATCCGACTCGATCAAAATTGACATCCTCATAATCTTCCCCAAATGTAGGTGTGGAACTTAATTTTTTAAGTGTTTTATGGTTCCGAAAGAATAAAATTCCAACTTCCTCAAATGTTTCGCGACAAGCAGTTATACGCAAAGAAATTTCACGTGAGAAACTTTTACCAGTGCTTAAAAGTGAATTCGTTCTTTTGGTATTTGGCTCTTTGACAATAAGTCTATCTAATTGATTCGAGCTTACGCCATACTCTTCGAAGTAATTCATCCATTCTTGACATTCATCTGATGCCTCCTCGAAAGTTCCTCCAGGAAAGACGCAGTGTCCAGGAGCAAAAGACGTATTCGTGGATCGTTCAAAGAGTAGAATCTGGAAATAAATTAATAGAAAAATACCTTGAAGTAGTTCCTTATATTAATTTATAATATTGCGAATTTTGGCCTACAAATAAAATATGTAGACTTAATTATTAATTTATTATGGATAATTTACCAAAATGCATTTTTTTTTTTAAAGTGGGACTTTCTACAGTTTACGAATTTGTAAAGTATCTTTAATTTAACATTTTTTAATTCTTCACTGTTCAGGCTTTTCTGAAAACATGTTACAATTTTGTTGAGACATATCTTAAAATTTTTGTTCTTGAATTTACTTCAACAATAAATGATGCAGTTAAAAAAAAAACATTTTTTTTTTGTTTTAGTGAAAAAATGGAATTTTTCGCGGGTTAAATATATTCTTTCCATTATTCTTCTTATTTTTTTGAGGAGGTCTTCCTCTTCCCCTGATTACCCCGACGGGTATTGAGTTCAATACTTTCAGAGCTGAAGTGTTTTCGTCCATACGTAGAATATGACGCGAATATTTGCCGAGGCCAACGCAAAAAGCCCTTTACATGGACCACATTGGCCTTCCCGTCAAAAATTCCAAACATACATACGTATAACTATTTGCCATGCTTAATTCAACTAATTGACTTTGATAAAATTACAGTAATATTCTTAGGTTCTCCCCACAAACCGTTGGAGTACAAGAATACAAGCGCTTGATAAATCATATTAGGATTAAATGAGGGAAAATTTAAAAAACATCCAATATAGCAAGCTACTGAGATTTGGCCAAATCGATTTTTATCGCTTTTGTTGTTACAGTTTATCGTATATATTGAGCATGTGCATATCTTCTTCTTCTTAATTAGCGTAGTCACTACTTACGCGATTATAGCCGAGTGCGTSAGTCGTTTCTTCTTTTCGCTACGTGGCGCCAATTAGATATTCCAAGTGAAGCCAGGTCCTTCTCCACTTGGTCCTTCCMACGGAGTGGAGGTCTTCCTCTTCCTCTGCTTCCCCCGGCGGGTACWGCGTCGAATACTTTCAGAGCTGGAGTGTTTTCGTCCATCCGGACAACATGACCTAGCCAGCGTAGCCGCTGTCTTTTAATTCGCTGAACTATGTCAATGTCGTCGTATCATCGAATGCGATATTCGCCGTGGGGAACGCGCAAAGGACCATAAATCTGTCGCAGAATTTTTCTCTCGAAAACTCGCAACGTCGACTCATCAGTTGTTGTCATCGTCTGTGCCTCTACAACACATAGATAATAATGAGTGACTTATGGTGTTTTGTTTTTGTTCGTCGAGAGAGGACTTTACTTCTCAATAGCTTATTCAGTCCAGTCTGACATTGTTGTTGCTGCTGATTCTGGTTCCAAGATAAACGAAATTATCTACAACTTCGAAGTTATAGCTGGCAACAGTGACGTGGGAGCCTAGTCGCGAGTTCGACGACGATAGGGAGTCGCCTCGTCTTGGTATCAAACGACTCGAAGAGGTAATTTCTTTGTTTTTGGTATCGCTCAACGGCAGTTTACACAGCAATATAAGTTTTGCGGTAATACCAAATCGACAAAGAGAGGGTGCGTGTCTGTTTTCTTTTAGCGACTCTTTTCCAAGATTTGGGGCAAGGTGAATATCTGGTCGGTTGTTGATCTTCCAGGCCTAAGCTACACTGAAAAGGTAAAATCAGTTGACGATGTGCTCTGGCAGCGAAACCTTCTGTTAGCCGGCACGTTTTTTCATAGAAATTTCGAGCATTACCCCTGTCGGCCAGCTTGTCAAGGCCTTTATACTCGCGCATTTCGGCTTCTTTCTTCTTCTGTCTGCAAATGCGTTTAGGTTCTCTCTCCGACTCTTGGTATCTATCCCATCCCGCACGTGTTGTGGTCGATCGTAACGTTGCGAGGTACGCAGTGTGTTCTCTCCGCTGCGACACGGCACTCCTCGTCGCACCAGCTGTTCTTTTGCATTTTCTGAAAACCAATGGTTTCGGTTGCAGCTGTACAAAAGGAACTTGAAATGTCGTCCCACAGTTCCCTTATACCGAGTTGTTGGCGAGTACTCTCAGAGAGCAGAAATACAAGTCGAGTAGAAAATCTTTCGGCTGTCTATTGCGATTGCAGTTTCTCGACGTCGAACCTTCCTTGTGTTTGTTGGTACGAATCTTCGCTGCAACAAGATATTGGTCCGAGTCGATATTAGAACCTTGGAGCGTACGCACGTCTAGAACAATGGAGACGTGTCTTTCGTCTATAACAAAATGATCGATCTGGTTTGTGGCTTTTCGATCCAGAGACAGTTTGGTAAATTTTTCTTTGCTGTAATCTAGATATAGGTAACCATATTTCGAGCCCCGGCGAAGTCGATCGCCCTCAACCCATTTGTGGATGTTTCCTCGTGGGGTCTGAATTTACCGACTGTTGGACGAAGGATACTCTCCCACCACGAATCCTACACCAAACAAGGACATGCTCGCCTCAGTCGTTGTCCCGTCCATCGCATTTCTTGGAGGACGGTGATGTCAGCCTAACGAGGACATCAGCCAGCTGGGCAACGGCACCTTCCCAATTAAGGGTCCGGACATTCCAGGTGCATGCCCAAAAATCATAGTCCTTAATTCGTTTCCCATGGTCGTCATGAATAGGGGGCTCTCTCATCCGAAGCTGTCATTTAGTTTTCATTTGCACTGTTTTTTACGTGGCGAGTCTGAAACCCAGCGCACAACCCTATGTATGTCATAATTCACCTTCTCAATTTAGCTCGCTTTCAAACGGATGTTCCTAGGCTACTCAGAGGATACTTGGTCTAAAACCGGAAGTCGTGAGCTGCTTGAGCCTTATGTAAAAGAATCGTTTCTAGCCACTCCTTAGCTGTCGGAAGATATGATGTATAGAGTTGGACCCAGCACCAGCCTTTATTTGTCGTTTATAAGATATAAAATCCCATACTTTTACCATAAATTGTCTATTATTCAAATAAGACTGTAATGTTTTATACAATACTTGAGGTAGAGCCTGAGCTACGTCTAGAAATATTGCTGAACAGTACTCTCTGCTTTCTTGCTCTTGGTCTTGGTCTTGTGATTTGATTATCTCTTGAATCATATTTTGCATTGTAGACATAATTTGGTTGGTTTTGAGGCAATTGCATTGATGTAGTGTTACCTTTTACCACATTTGCAAAGCTCCCTTGGGAAGCTTTGGTTTTAATATTACCTGGTTTTCACACATAGAGAAATATAGGGCAACCCCTATAGCTTGCAGTGTGATTTACCCCACAATTACTACATTTTTATTTAAATCCTCTCTTTTAAGAGCAGATTTTGATATGGGGTGCAAATCACCTTGCAGCACACAGACACTGCGTAGAGCGTAATACGCTTTCGTATGTCCATACTCTTAGCAATATGTGCATTGTACTGGACAATTTTTTGTGTGGTTCCTTAACGGCAATTCGGCGATGGAGCAGATATTTTAGGTTGTAAATCGGTTGTATTCCATTTTTCTTAAGTGGATTAGAATTTGGCATCAATCCTATTTTGAACATCGGTTATGGGACTTTGTTCCAGTTAAATATATTTACTACTAATTTTATACTAAAACTACATTCTTTTATTGCTACTTTAACATCGTTAGAGTCTACTGAAGACTCCTTTAAGACAACTACTAGGCCTTTTGAGCTCTTCAGTTGGTAAGAGTAGTAATTCTGGTTATTACCTCACAAAAATTTTACAACACCCACTAAACTTTTTTCAGCGTACGTTGAATTTTTGGTTCATCTATGTTACCTTTTTTCAAGGGCACTATGTGAAAATAGTTTTGAGACAAGCGCATTTGAGCTCCGCTGGCGCAAACAGATTGGAGGGGGTTGGCATTCACGACTGTAGTAGTACCCTTTGCATCATCGTTAAGGTCTGTTTTTTTTAGGCAGGCAAATCTTTTGCCATTGAGAATTTCTGGCTTTTCGCCATTTGGCGTGCCTGGTGAACTTTTTGGTATTGGCCGCTAATTTTATTGGACTGGATTTCCTATTTACGTTTGTATAGCGATAATATCAATATGAGCAGATGGTTAAATTTTTGCTTAGTATATTCTCACCTTGCATTTTTCTTTCCTTCGCTGTCCGAATGTTTGCTGATGCCTGCCGGCTGGTTGCTGTCAGCACATTTGTTGTTGCCCCATTGCTGTTTTCTGCTGACAGCATCCTTTGCTTCGTTTCAATTTCAGCTGATCGCTGCGACGACTCTTCATCGCCGTTACAATTTTAATTGATAGGAGTTCTTGCTGGCTCGGCAAAGCTGAAGTAGGCATTTAAGAAATGCCTACTGCTTTGCTGGTGGGGTTCGTTCGGTTTTTGTTTGGTTTTTTTTCTCTCATGCACTATTTGTTTATATTTATTACTAACAATTTGTGTGCACTGCTTTTACTTGATAGTTTTCAATTTAATAGATTATTTTCTTTACTTTTTATAATGACAGAGTTCACAGAGCGAATTAAAATACACGTCCTTACACTTTGCATCTTGTTGGCAAAACTTGGGTGCGTATCTTGTCTGCAACAAGATATTGGTCCGACCGATCTGGTTGGTGGGTTTTCACTCCGGAGACAGCCAGGCAGTTAGATTAATTTTCCAATGCTTGAATCTAGTACTATATATATGGATATATATTTGGCTATCCAGAGGGTTCTTACTTTGAGACTGGAAGTCGTGAGATGTTTGAGTCATATGTAAAAGAGCCGTTTCTCCACTCCCAAGTACAGAGAACTCCATCTTCCATTCCAACATTACAGTGTAAAAATTTATGAAACTTTGCCATTAAATCAATAATACGTTCGGTGTCGATTATTAAAGCTTGAAGAGGTTCTGGTTTATTGCTTAAAGACCAATACTTCAAATAACCGTCTCAAGGTAATAAATAACAATTTTTTAGAGACCATGCAATGTTACAATTTCTTGAAATAATCTTCAAACATTTCTCCCAATTCGATTGTTGCACGTAGCCCCGTTTTGTTGGACCCAAATGATTGCAAGACAA